CTTGTAGAGACTTCCCTATTCATTCAAATGGATTTTTCTTAAGTTCTCTTTCTGGAGGTAAGGGATAAAAAATTTTCCTTTTCTAATGGCTAAATTTTAAAAATTAGGAAATAATATGCTAAATGAAAAACAACTAGTACATTCAAAATACTCAGAACTTCTGTGAAGCAATTGATGTCCTGGGACATCGCACATCAACTAACAGGAAGAAAGCCTGTAAAAGGTTAGCCAACCATGTCTAGAAAGTTACATCTTACCACAGTGATGAAAATGCAAATATGGTTATTTCTAGAAGAGAAGTTCAAGAATTTAACCAGTAGTGCAATGTACTATATGCCAGTGGTGTGAACAGCCTGGACATTGGCCATGCTTACAATAAGCTAGATGAGTCTCGGGCATCGCATTTGAAATACTAAGTTGTCAGCACCAAAGACATCCAGAAGAGCTGTCAATGCTCATGCCACCACACAGGTACAGAAGGGATGAATAGCAGGCAGTCATGCTAGAGGTCATGAGAAGTCCAATAATAAGACGCAAAATACAGTGTCTACAAAGAACGTTAGCAAAGTGGGGGGGGGGCGGGGAGGGGAGCACGAGACATCTGTTTGTGTTTGGCAAATGGATGCAGAATGTACAAGAACAGGAAGCATTCAGCCAGGGAGGTGTCTCAGTCACCACAAGGGCCCATGGGTATTCAGTAGGGCTATACGGTTCCTTCCAGCTTGTCTGGCTTAGCTTATTTTAAGGGGCCCCACATTCCATCAAGAGCAAAGCAGGCACCTTTATGTGGATGACAGTCACCACAAGGGCCCATGGGTATTCAGTAGGGCTATACGGTTCCTTCTAGCTTGTCTGGCTTAGCTTTTTTTAAGGGGCCCCACATTCCATCAAGAGCAAAGCAGGCACCTTTATGCGGATACTGTGACCCAGCAAAGAGTCTAACAAATGAAGGTTGTGAAGGAAGAAACAGGATCTAGAAGTGGAGGCTCCAACACAAGCATAGCTGCTCACAGCCTAGAACAGCAATTCTCAACCTGTGGGTCGTGACAACCTTTCACAGGGGTCACCCAAGACCATCAGAAAAAACAGATGATTTTACCTTATGATCTATAACAGTAGTAAAATTACATTTATGAAGCAGCAATGAAAATAATTTTATAGCTGGGGGGGCTGCAGCATTAGGAAGGTTGAGAGCCACTGACCTAGATGATTCCAACAGGAGTCTGTAGAACCCTCAGGCTGATGGTGAGCCACCTAGACAGTGAACAGGACTCTCCTAGGCTCCACACCTTAGCACAAGGACCCAGAATCTGATAGGAGACAGTCTATAAACCAACTTAACAGAAGGCACAGAGAGGGGACATCACATCATACTATGTTTTATGAAGCAGACACTCAAAATTTCCCAGGGGTACGATACTGAACTTTCTGCAGAGTTTTAGTCACCCATGAATTCTTGTTAGAGTTTCCCAATTTTGTATTTCATTCTAAAGTTTAGCAGGTTAAAAAAAATGCACTCAATGAGTTAAGTAAACAGCTATCTTCTTAAAAACACAATCTTATTTCATCAAACAAGGTAGGCCTAGTTTAAGGATTTAGAATGATATTAAAAAGAAAGAAGAAAGCCAGCACTATCAGGAACACATCACAAAGAGCTCGCACCCAGCAGAACACTGAGGTGGCTTCCTTGTCTAGGATGCATTTCCTAAAATACAGATTTCTCTGAAGGGATGACAGGATATCTGGGCAGTAAGTAAGGAGGGGTTGGTTATTTTCCACTACAGTCTACATCCAGTCTCAACAGCTAAATCACTGAAATGGATGGCTATGAAAATGCAAGCTACCCTACAGGAATGGCTTCAGAGGAGCCCCATTAACAAGGCCCAGCACTTTCCATGTCTAAACCAAGACTTAATGTTCCTACCGCTTCAACAGTTCTTGCATTTATGACTAAATGAGCTAACATTCTTGTAATGTGGTTAAAAAGTGTATCTTCCACAAAAATAACTATACATTTGTTTGTCAAATAAAGTTGTTTGTTTAACCTTTCTCTCACATGTAACCTACTACAAAAGCATTCTAACATATCCTGTGTACGGTGTATCTCTCCTACTCTCTCTTCTTTCCCCATCCCATACAAATGGGAGTTTGATTAAACTGACGTCGAGCCTTGTCATCAGTAGTTCCCCATTTTGTCCAAGACCAAAATCCCAAAGGTTATCAAGACCCTATGTAGTCTAGCCCTACCTACTTTTCCAGCCCTGGTCCCAATACTCTTCCCCACCACCATGTGCTCCAGCGAAGTCAGCCACAATCCTTCCAGCCTCCTGCACTGGATCTCTTCTGTCCATCTATGCTTTTCCTGAACTGCTAGCTACTTCTTCCCTCATCATCTACCCATGTAGCACTGGATCAGTGAAGTCCCTAACAAAACATGAATGACTAAAGGAAGTATGTGGGTATGGGGGAGTGGGGAGCAGGCAAGGCATCTTAATGTTCTTTAGGCTCTCTGAACCTTAAAGAAAGAAAAAGAAAATCAGAAATCTGTCAGCTGATGGATGGCTATTCAAAATGTGGTATATTCACTATCCACACAATGGAATTTATTCAGCCATAAAAAGTAATGAAGTAACAATGCATGCTGTAACACTGTATGAGGTTAGTTTACAAAGTGTCCAGAGTAGCAATAGTACAGAAAGTAGATTGATGAGCACAGAGTTCCTTTTGGGGGAATGATGAAAATATTCTGCCATTAGACAGGGGTGATGGCTGCACCACCTTAGGAAAACACTAAGCAACAGCAGACGAGCACCATGAAAGGAAGAGTTTTATACCATGTGACTGATATTAGGATTGTATTCCCCACTGGGCTGTCATGATTGAACAGGGGCTTATGAATATATGTGTGTATAACATGAGTGTGTGCACAGACACACACACACACACACCATACACGATAGCAGGCCCCAAAGTCCTGCAACAAATGCAAAGTTTTACTTCAAAAAACCATTATGATTTTAATAAATTTAGATAGAAAGTGAAATGGGGTTGGGGGAAGACTCTATCTGTAATCCAGGAATAACAGTTTTGAGTACTAAAAGCTATCTAAAACTTGCTCCATTGTGCCAATCCAAGCAATCTATGCAAATTTAGTCCCTTAACACACCACATCTAATTCATATTCTAATTTACAAGATGGTTAAACTGGGTCAATTTATTTCTTCTACTGTCTGTGATAAAAACAGAATCCTTTGAAATACTAGCTGCCATGTAAAATTATGTAAGCAGGGGTAATTCTAAAAATACATTCACAAGGGGTACTGTCCCTGAATTTGCTACCTTCACCAGCATCGCAGATAATAATGGAATCGGCGGAAGCTAGCTTGGCCTAATCAGTTGGGGGGTGTGGGGAGACTCCAGTCTTTTAAAGGATGACATCCTCACTGTGAAGCTGGTTTCACAGAATGTCCCTGACTCTGTTTTATTTTTTTAAAGGAGTAATGCCTGAAAGTGTTGGCACAGAGACAAAACCCTGAATTTAGGCCACAAGAATGTCGCTTCATTGTCACTGAAAGACAAAGGCTCAGCTCCCATCAGACTTCAGCCGGACTGCACGGACATTCCGCCAGCTAAGCAGTCCCGTATGAGGGCCTCCGAGATTAGGGCCCAAAGTAGCATCTGGCCTAACAGGAACCATGCAATCGCACCATGTAAATAAGGACTATTGCTATCTATGATAGGCACTGTGGTTAAGGTTCAGTGAATCAGGAAAACTCGAGATATTTCTTTCTTTTTCCTTTATTCTTGAAGAGGATAAGGGCAACATTAGAAATACAAATTTAATGGGATATTTTTTTTTCCATTTCTTAAAAAGCTATCTAACAAATCAAGTTGTTCTCTGCTGTTCCCAAGAAATTCACTAAATGGAATGTAATAAATTCTTATTTTTTAAATCACCATACAACTTTGCTTTAGGACTTGCTCCCCTGAGGGGCAGTGCTAGCATACAATATTTTTTTTTAACTTTTAAGTTTTTTTCTGATTATTCTTTCTTATATAGTTTTATTTTTGGAGAACATCCTACATGAGCCCTGCATCTACCTCACCTCCACCCCCAGGTCCTCCATGTTCCCAATCCCAAATTCATGACCTTTTCAATTATTACTGTATACACTCATATATGTATGTATGTATTCATGCATGTATGTATATACATATAGTTTACTGGGTCCATTAGCTCTGTTCATATGTACATGTGTCCAGAGCATGTAATTTAATAATCAGATAACAGGAGACACGGCATATATCTAACTTCCTATCGTCTGTGCCATTTGTTAATTCATTCCCATGAAAATGACTACATCTTTACCGGCTCTGTTAGGTGCCCGGACATTTCCCAGAGCTCAACCAAGCAATAAGTATACAAAGAAGAACAAAAAGACAAGCAATCTACACCCTGAGGAGGGCACAATCAAGTGGCAGAGAAGGGCAGGAGGGGGTGACAATGACCAATGATGCTCAAAGGGAAGCAGAGAACAGATGTAGTGTTGACTGACTGACTGACTGACTGTGAGGATGGATGATAAAGGTTCAGTGTTCCGTGCAAAGTAGACAGGATGGGGTGCACTGTGGAGTAGGCAGGGGGCAGGTAGGCAGTGAAGGAAACAACCACAAAGGCGTATCTCGCTCCCAGAGTGGGGTAAGAGTGGCAAGAGAAGGGGCAGGTGAAATGAACAGAGGCTAAGTGAGGGAAAACTTCATTCTATAGAGAACAGAAAGACGGGTACAGAAAGAAAGGACACCAAGGGAGGTAGTTTAAAAAGAACCTTTAGCAGAAAAAGAAGCTACAAACAGGATATAGAAAGGATATGATGGAGATAATCCAGGTGACCATGCCCTCCCCTCCCCCCCAGGGTGTATGTGTGCTGATTAAGGCTGTTTCCACGTCAGCACAGTCCAGAGAGAATATGAAAACTCAGAAGGTGCAGTGATGAGTCCTGGGCCATGACTAAAGGAGTAGAGTGAAGGGGCTTACTAACCAACCCTTGGCCCTTGGTCTCTGGCTCACGAACAAATCCTGGATGCCAACACTGTCTACGAGCCTAGGGAATATTCTAGCACTCTAATACAAGCACTGAAAAGCCTCCTCTCTCCATGTCTCCCCCATCCCGGTGTTAATGCCACTTCTTCCACTGCTGTTCTCTCAGGTCATTTATTTCATCGGCCACCATCAGCTGGTCGTCACGGGAGTATGCCTGTCACCTCTCAACTAAGCCTCACTGTAACTGTCATGTTATGTTTTCTCTCCCTGAGTAAGCTCACAGAGAGCAAAGACCCTCCCACTTCCTTCTGTATCCCACAGCATACACTCCACCGATGTTGGCTGACTGAAAAGTGTTGGTGTAATGGAAACAACCCTGGAAAGAGTCGGCTACCATCCTCTCCTGGGTCTTAATACCCCCACCCCTTCTCCGCTGACATACCCTGACGCTGGTGAGATTAAAAACACCCACCCATTTCCCAGACCTAAGACGGACATGATTGGGGCCTTACTCAACACTAGCAATCTATTTTCAATATTAACATATTGCTTTGTAACTCTAAAAACATCTTCAATATGCAAGATGAACGCCCAAGGGCAATGGGTTACCCATACACTGAATCTCTCTTCTACCGGCACAGCTAAAACCGGAGGCTTTGCAAGCATCTGCTTTGGGTTCACTCTCAGATTCAGGGAACATGACTAAACCAGACTTGGCGGTGGCTGGCTGCAGGGTCTGAGCAATGGTGTGTAGAAATACTGAAATGATCACAGATAAGTACACTGAGTTTTTCTATGACACGCTGCTGTGACACGACAGATAGCTCTTCCATATGAGTATGTTAATGATGCCTTCACTCTCATCTTACTGTAGATAAATAAGTGATAAGAGGAGGGAAAGACCGAAAGATACTAACTCTGCTCTAATTTAGCTCTGCAAAAGTATATTGTACAGGGCTAACTTCCTTTTTAAGTACTAAAAATATTTAATTAACCATCACGAGTCTCCCAATATTTTAACTATGTTTACTCACTTAAAAACTTTCCTAAAACTAACAGTTTCCTGCCATCTGGCAAGGCAGTATCTACATGTGAAAAAAAACTACTTAAAGATCAGAAATCAATGAAACGCAGCCACAGAGGCAGGATAGCTGGGACACGCAGACCCCTTCAGACTGTCTTCAGTGAGTTTTCCTTCATGTCAACATTTGGACTTGCATATCATTTGCTTATGGAGCAAAAACTCCATTAAATAAGTGTTTTCATAAAGAGCTGAGCAAGAAAGACTTTAAATTTAATCTCTCATGTTTGATTCATTAGGCCGCTTGGGCACCAGCAGCGCAGTTGGAAGCCAGATCAACGGGATTCTATACCCCAGCTCTTTGCTGCCCACGTGACCTTGGGAGAGTCACGATTTTTCTATGCTTCAATTTCTTTGCATAAAACAATGCTGATAACGAGACTGGAGCTCGCTTAATTCATTAGTTTGATCTCCTAAGCTGATGGTGGATTGTTTTGGCAGCAAAAGTAAGAAGTCAGGGGTGATAAATCTTATCTTAAGTGCTCTGAGATTTTTCAGAGCAAAAGTAGCCACTGGAAACATGCTAAATGAAACCAGTATTTCTGCCAAATCCTTATTTGAGGGAAGAACTCAGAGAGAGGACCATATAGCTCAGTGGCACTTGCTTCCTGACTTGAGTGAATTGGAAATATATTCCCCTGAATGTTCTTTCTCATAAAATCAAGTGCATATGACTACCAGCCGTTGCTACTTCAGTTATAGCAGGGGAAAGTTACTGCCACCCTGTGAAACTGCCTACTGCCTGAAGATGCTGCTACACACACCCTGTGGAACTGGCGCTGGAACCGACGACCCTGCAGGAATCACAGCTGACTTGTCATCTTCCCCCATTTTTGATGGATTCCAAGAAACTTTGCCGGAATCACACACTTAACAACAAACCCGAGGCTGGCAAATGTCAGTCAAAGAAAATGTAACTACCTCACGTGTGCACCTCAAGATTCTCATCTGACTGATGGCCACTGGAGAGCACACTCTCCACTGCACTTTCAAGGCTCTGATTCGATCGGGATGGGTCTGGAGAGAAGGCATGCAAGGAATGGCGAGAATATGCACAACTCAGCATCCCCCAGGCAGGCATTTATACTCACAGCTGCAGCTCCAGGACTTCAACAAGGACTTTATGCTAATTTCAAAAAACACAGAATCCTGTAGACTCAACATTGTGTCTTGGCTGGCTGCAGGAGCAGTGGCAGCGGTGGCAGCAGCAGCAGCGGCCGCAGTAGTGGCAGCAACAATTCTGTGACTCTGGATCCCAGCCGCTGTCCCCTTGCCTCTCACAGGCGGCAGAGTTCTGGCCCACAGTGCCTTGGCTTCATTACCATGCAGTCTCGCGGTGACGCACAACTGTAGTGGAAGCGCTGCTCAATGCAGATGAGGTACCCAGCTGAATTAAAGCTTACAAGTTTATTACAAGTACCCTGAAGGACACCCTCACCTTTCTTTATGCAGACCTGCATGTGGCCAACAAGACCTGGCCTGTTTGCATTCAGATTGCCAGTTTGAGGAGCTTTCAGCTCCTCGGGGCTGCTAGGAAACAGACACAGGCTGCTGCTCTCTGTCCTTCGATGCCAACTTTCCTCACAGGCAAAGGGCCTTGGAAACACAGTTTGTTTAAAAAAAAAAAAATGAATTAGAATCTAGCATAAAATCTTTAAATGCCTTCCTTTAGTAGCTGGTGTCCTCCTCAAAGGGGGAGCAGGGAATCAGTAGCAGTTCCCTAGGGGACTTGAGCAGCACATTCTCTCCACCCTGATCCACACCCGGCCGTGGTTTGTTCAGCAAGCTTATGATGAGACAGAGTCCACGGGCCCACTTACCCTGCTGGAGATAATGCTGCCTAATGGAATGAAGGATGATGTCATGAACACTGGCTGAGCCTCCACTGGCCTCTGAAACTGCTCAGCTCAGGACAAAGTTGTTTTCTGGTACATGCAACTTATTCTAAAGAGCTAAATGTCAGGTAAGTGGGTTGTTTGAAAACAGTGGCTTCTATTCTTAGTAAAATAAAAATGAAAATAGAATGAAAGTCTGGCAGTCAAAAAGTCAGTGAACAGCCAATGTATCTGCTGGTCAGATAAGCGCATCTGGACAACTTCATTCTATGGAAGAGGTTTTCAGATGAAAATACACTGTCAAAAGAAAATAAAATAACTACTCTCTAAAATGGCAGAGACATGGTACAACCAAAACAAATAACAGCCTGTGCCAATATCAAAAGAAAAAAATGATTTCACCACAATTGGTTTACCTCATCTTTGGAGGTGAGTAGGCATGTATTCAGGTGTCCCTTCTCATATGTAGAAATACATTTGTAGTGGGCCATCTGCATTATTGCATTCTTTAAGCACCACAGAGAATAAGTGCAATTATTAAAGTCGTAACTGAATAAATTCACTCATGGTCAAATTGTTAGGCACTGTATTAGAAGCTAAAATAACGTCTTTCCATGCACGAACACCATCCACTAAGTACAGGAGGATAATCACATTCCTAAGACATATTCAGTGGTATGAGTATAGGGGGCATATGTCTGAAGCTGTGTGAGGGTTTTTTTTTGCTTTGTTTCTTTTTGTTTTTAGAATAGTTTAAGAAATCTGATACAAGTGTGGACCATTCTGATTTCTAAGCAGACCTAAGAAGAAAATCCATACTAAGGGTGCAAAGGGTAACCAACATAGAACCCAACCCCACACCAGGACACAGTTGACCAACATGGAACCCCAACTACATGTGGTATGCCAACATGGAGCCCTCATCCACACTGAGATGCCAAGGCTGATCAACCACAAAACCCAACTGTACATCACTGTCATTTTGCTTCCATCTTTATAAAAACATTTAAAGCTAAGAGCAGGGTTCCTTCTCATTCAAAGAAGAATCAAGGCATCCATATGTTAAATGAACAAACAACATCCCATAGTCCCAAAGCCCAACCTTCTACCACATCCCATTCTTGTATATTACCAATGAACACACTGCAAAAGACTACGTATTTTACAAAAATCAGTTTACGTTATGTTTTTAATTATAGTATACTCCAAAGTAACTTTGCTACACAATCCTCTCTTCATCAGACTGCTAAGAGATTCTATGGGGGACAGTGACCTAAACACAAACAAATGAGACCATTAAATGAGACTTGAAACACATCAGCTGACAAATTAGTACATAACATCTAGGTACTCTTCCATATTCTTGCCACCCCTTTTGCGCTGGGCTTTCCCAAGATTCAAAAGCAACTTGATACTGTTTGACTTTGACATCCCATAAAAGTGAGTGAGATTCATTCTTAGCAAACCTTCAGAACTATACTAGTGTCATACAGAAAGTCAGTTTGGTGACTTCAGAGAGAACGGGGTAAATAATAGGTAATTTTTTCATGTCTTTAAAAATTTTTTTTTCTTTTTAAAATCTGTATAGATATAAAAGAATAAAATAGAATCTAAAGTTTCTATTTAACCTAATCAGCATATGTGCACAGGTGTGTGTACGCGTGTGTGCGCGCGCGCACGCATGCATGCACACACACATTCCATTTTTATCAGAAGCTCACTGTAAATACAGTGCAGGTGAAATGGCATTTTCCATGTATATACAAACTATTGTAACATACAGGCAGAGTCTGGTTCTAGCTGAACCTTATTCGAAAGAATAAAGAACACAATAAACAGTGTTATTCTTTCAAGTCCTGATCACAAACACCATAACAATACTTACTTAATGGAGTATTTCCTTTCTACATCTTCTGATGCTTTTATTATCCAAACCACCAAACTATTATATTAGCTGGGGGAAAAAAAACACACACACACATATACACCCAGCAATCCTTTTAGAAGGCCATGGAGGAATCCCACTGTGCTCCAATCTCTTTCTCAATCCCTCAATGGCTAATCCTCTTTTTAAATTAAACAAATAATGATACTGTTGTTGTTCTTCAAGTGAGTACTCTCTTGCTAAACTGCTAATTAATTACATCAACCAAGACATAGCCTAAAGCCTATTGTAAGGTTTTCAGATTACCAGAGATGTCAGTGTTCCACTTTATACTTTATAAGTTCAGAATCCTCTTGCTTACACACACACACACACACACACACAAGAATATTTTCATATCATTGCCATGAAGACAGCTACAAAAATTGTAGCCTTGAATTCAGGACATTTACAGACTCCTCAAACGTTAGACCACAGTTTTTCAGGCTTTGGAACTGATGTTTTTAGAATGCAAGAGAGTCATAGTTCCAATTCAGGCTCTTCCCACTTGTCTTAAGACCTTACTGCTGACTGGTCAGAGGACATGAAGAAATCACATTGGTATTGATCTGTGAGCTTCCTCCTTGCTGACTAGATTACATAGAACTGGGAGGTGCAGCTGGGAGAAAAGGGTCATCCACAGTCTTACCCAGTTTGAATCCTGTGAACTCTAATAATAACTGGTCTGACAAGATATACCCATGGGTTCAATAATGGCACAAATGTTACAGGAGTAACCAACTGCTTTCTGATTGGATTTAAAAGCCTGCTCTACAAAAGGAAACAAAAGCCTGGTACTGGCAAATCTGGCCAAGAACCCATAGTTAAGCTAATAGGCCCCAGGGAAAAATCTATTATTATTCTGCTAAACAGACATACTATCAGACTGCCCTCTAAATTCATATCTCCATACACATATAATTAGTACAACTCTCAGACAAGTGCCAACAGAGTTCCCAGGCACAACATGGACATCTATACCATACCCCTCCCGCAAGGCTCAGGGACCATTGTAGAAGATGGGGTGGAAGGATTACAAGTGCTGGATGTCATAGAAGATCAGGACAAAACAGCATCTTCTGGACAGGATAGAAACACTGCACTCACGAATTTGCAGCAGCTCTGCTTCCCTACAAAAGAACTACTCAAGAACAAGCCAATCAACATTCAGCACTGATTAGGGAGGAGTTCACAAGCCCCCACTCCCAACTGCAGCAGAGCTATTGACAGCTGATGACTTCAGGGAAAAAAGAGTTCAGTTTTCTTAAACAGTGTGGTCCCTGGTAGGCTGACCATATTTGAGTAGGGGGTACATGAGTGTATAGTGAGCACAAGGCAAATTCAGTGTGTGTGTGTGGGGGGGGGGGGGGGGGGGGGAAGGAGTGGTCAATAAAACAAACTGGACAGGGACACCAAGTTGGGAGGTGGTGTGGAGGAAAATGTGGGAGGCATGAGGGGGTGTAAAATGACCAAAACACACTGTTTGAAATTCTCAAAGAATTCTTTAAAACAGTACATGTTAAAACAGAGGTTCACATTCTTAAAACCACCTCCTGTTGACATCCTCCTACCACAAGCCAGATACTGTAGTAAACACAGACGATGACCATGGGAGATGTCTTGCCCTCTGGGTGTTGGAAGATAAGTTTCCCCTTCCTTTTAATTGACTCCCACTAAACTGGTGTCCTTTCAAAAGACTTTGCTTTATAGTTTTCAAGAGAAGGCAGAGGCCATACAACAAAACACCAGTAAAACCCTCTGGAAAGCATACAGAACACTGATGTCTAGAAGGGAGGGATCTGAACAAAATGTTCCCTGACGTTTAGTGGAGTCTGAGTTAACTTAAAATATCACACTCTCCACTGGAACGTCAGGTTCTGAGAGAATCCCCAATCACTAACGCATTTTAGGAAAGGGACACAAATCCATGATCAGTCCTCATAGTAAGAGCTTCATCAATATCTCAAAAAAAAAAAAAACTCTTAACCTGGTGCCCAAAATTAGCACACATGGCAAAGAGTGAAAATCATGTGAGCTTTCCTCCTGAAAATGTCAACTATCCTTCCACGCCTAGAGACTTCTACAGCTCCCACAGATTCCAGCCTCTTCAGAAGAGTCCCCTCCTTGCTGGAGCTTAACAAAGAGGTTGAAAGGCTTGAGAAGAAAGATGCTCTCAGGTCTGTTATGTAATTACCAGACATGAAATGCAACATCGGGAAAAAACACTGCAAAACCGGCCTCCTGTTTTGCTTTGAGACTTCATTAAAAACACACAATGTTAAGGGTATCGGTGGATATCACCGATTCTTCGTGTGCTCTCTCTCCTTACTTCTATCCTGTTAGTCCTTTTTGTATTTCCCAACTTTTCTACAATGAATGTTTAGATGTCTTAAAGCATCACTTCACTACTAACCGGAAGCAAGAGCTCCTAGGATAAATGGTTAAGTTTCAGAGCTGGGCAGAAAACACACAAGGAAAACTTGGAGTATCCTGCAGGGTCAGGTAAGAAATGAAGAGCTTAAAAAAAAAAAAAAAAAAAAAAAAAATGGAAGTGAGGCAAAGGAGGAAGGGGCCAACTTAAGGAGCAGTCCAGAGCCAAAGC